GGTCTTGTGCCTACCGGGCCTCACTTGCTTACCTCTTGACTTTGTTTGTACTGGATCCATATATACCTGCACCTGCATGCTTACCCTTGCTAGGTTGAGATCACTGTCTTGCTTGTTCACCTTGCATTATAATCCTGCATGTGAACTGGCCTTGTGGCCTTGAACTGGTGCTCAGAATGTGTGGTGACGTTGTGATCCACCCTGAGCTTCACCTTGCCTTGTTCTCTTGCTTGTCCCCCACTTTGCCTATGGGGGTGTGTCAGAACTATATTGTAGGCTGCAGTGGGGTAGACAATATGGGGTACAACTCTTTTAAGTTTTCATACTTGTACCCACCTGCTTGCTAGTTCATTCATTCCTCGTTCTTATTCTCACTGTTACCTTCGGCGATCATCAGCGATCGGGACCCGAAGTTCACGTCGAAGTTCTGGTAGGAAACGTGGGCACAGTACGGCACCCGCCTGCAGTTCTCGTCGTCTTACCACCCGCAAACCGACGGGCAGACAGAGAGGACAAACCAGACGATGGAGCAGTTGATTTGCACGAACTGCCCCAACATCACTAAGTGGGAGGATTCGCTTCCGTTGCTCGAATTTGCGTACAACAATGCCCCGTCTGCGACGACCAATCAGTCACCGTTCTACCTCAATTACGGGATAGACCCCGTGGTACCCTCTTCCACGACTCCCGACAACCCGGTACCTTGGTCGCAGCAGTTCGTCTCCGAACTTCAAGCAGCACGCGGCAAAGCAACAGAGTTTATACGGATGGCTAATACTAACGCCAGCCGCTACGCCGACCGACATCGACAGAATTTACCCTTCCGTGATGGGCAGATGGTCCTTTTGGACACGAGAAATCTTCGACTGCCCCAGCCTACAAAACTGCGCCCCCGCTACGTGGGCCCTTTCCGCATCATTCGGATGCTGACCCCGGTCATAGCGAAACTCCTCCTACCGGACGAGTGGAAAATCCATGATGCCTTCCACGTCAGCTTGCTCCGCCATTAGTGGCTCCGCAGCCGTCCGACGTCGCTTGACCCAACATCGCGCCAAGTGTCCGGCCTGTGGCAGACCCGACACTCTAGCCTTGGAAGATTTTGAATCATCGCATTCGTGCGACCCCGGCTGGTCGCCACGTCGACCTTCTCCTGCGATGGGTGGATCGCACAAGCGAAGATGACACGTGGGTCCCGGCCGACTCACTACAAGGCCACTCGGTGCTTCGGTATTATCTTTCCTGCCGACGCGTGCCTGATATTGACCACCTTTGTTAAAGGGGGGGGGGGGTAGTGTAAGGAATTTTCCTAATTCCTTACTGAGGCACTCCGTACGACCTCGCCTTCCGAACGTCCTTCGCGTCGCCTTCAGGTTTCCCAACCCCAAACCTGCACTCAACCTTCGCGCGACTCCGCGACCTCGGCCTAGCTAGCTTTGTTATATTATGCCTAGGCCTCGTTGTTTGCTCAGTAGTTGTAATCACTTCCGCGATATTGCATTCTGCGCACTTCTTTCGTACAACTCATAACAATAGCGAAGCTAGCGTGGTAACTGTAAAGCGAGAAATTGGGGTGCGCTACGAGCCTAGCGCCGAGGTTGGGAAATGTCAAGGCGGAGGCCCGGAGCGCGGGTTACAGGCCTCTGGATAGGATTTGGGGCACTCTTACTCGCAAGGCCAGTTCGCTGAAGTTGGTCTTTCAGTAAGGGTGGGTCAGCCATGTCAGTCTTTTTTATCAGTGTCAGCTGGAAAGGTACTCTTGCTCATCAGTGTGCACATTGTTTTCACCCTTTCATGTTTAGACTTAAGCGTGGATTACATATTAAAGATGGCACTAACTAACAGAGCAACTAAAGCACCAGTGCCTGGTTCTAACAGAATAAGCTTAGCAGTGAGCACAAGTTAATACGGTATAGGAACTCTTGAGCAGGGCGGCGCTTCTTGCCAGCATTGAACATTGCTACCGTATGCATGAGCCCCGCGAGTGAAACTCGACTTAGGTTGCTGCCGCCACTTCTGCCGTGCCGAACACGAACCAGATTTCAGCTTCTTGGCAGCACAGTTGTGAGCAGCAGCGGTATTCTCCATTACATGTGTTGTGCTTTTCGTGGTGTCAGTTCAGGCGTCGTGGTGCACGTCACGCCCCGCTTCAGCCAGCGCGGTCTCAGCCTCAGTAGAGGCAACGACGGGCTCTGGTTCAAGCAGTCGCTTAGAAGGCACTGTTAAAAAACGAAGGCCCTTTCATGAGGGTGAGTGCAGGACCTGACGACGAGCCTCGTCGTCATCCTCACCGCTGGTGACAACAGCCATGACGAGGGACTTGGAGGTAGATGCTGGAGCTATGCTTATAATAGCAGCAGGAAGGCGTGGTCTGCAAACCCTAGACGAGACCACGAGGAGGAAAACTGGATGAATAAAATGAACTGACTGGGTTGGGGTTGGGTGAGAGCGGCTGGTCGGTGGGTGGGGGTCTGGTGGGGAGGGAGGAAGGGACCAAGCAGGACTCTCCTGGACGATGCACACCTGTGTGGCGCTGTGTGTCACCGCCAGGCAGGCAAAATGCATGTGGTACGGGTACAGGTTGCGGGACTGTGGCTGTGGCGACGCGAGCGGTCTTGGCGACGCGCAATTCTGGTGACTCGGGCAAATCGCCGCTAATCGCGGCAGAAATCACGTCGGTGAATCAACCCCCCCCCCCCCCCCCCCCCCTCCCCCCACCTCCCTCCCCCCTAAAAAATCGCATCAGGGTGGTACCCAACACTACTCGTTGTCATCAGGGCGAGTACACCAGGTCGGTCTGAAATATCAGTGTTACACAAAAATTCACTTTTTATTGTAAGGGCACCCTAAAATACAACTTTGTAAAATCAGGGTGAACACCTAAACCCACCCTTATAGTAAGGGCCATAAGGGTGATTTACCCTGATATCAAGAGGCCTGGCGGGTTACCAACCGAACCATGAAGTTGGGTTGCGTCGTGAACAGTGGCGGGAACAGTGGTCGAGACGGGTGTAGCGAGTGGTAACGGTGCACAGTTGGGTACTGTTGGCGGGAACAGTCATGTTCGCAATAAGCAGGGGCGTGAAGTAAGGAAAATGATTTTTCCTTACAAAACTCAAGAAATTGCTCGACATAAGCTGTGTGAGCATTCTAGCCCATCTTAACGATTGGAATTGATGTTGTAGCAAGCACAATCCGTGGTAATAATGGGTCGTCGAAACGAGTACAGTCAATAATCACACCACCCCAAGGCTTCGCGCCTATCGCGCCGTCGCATGCGCAGGAAGATCAATCTCTGCAGTATGTTTCCGTCACAATTATTATTCGCAAAACTCTGAACGATTCCGTATCCAGTATTCGCGAACACTCGGGAAAAATCGTGAACTTGCTGCCGACCGTCGCTAGCTCGCCACCCCCCGCACTGAATCCGCAATTACTCGTAACAATGTCGGTGTGACTCCCTGGGCGACTCGTACTGCTGAGACCAAAGTACGGCCAAGTCAATTGCCCGCGACTCATGGTGCCATCCCTCGACACAGCAGAAATGCAGTTATAAAAGGAACCACCACTGCCGCTCATCTCATCAGCAATTTCATATCATCAGTACCCTCTGCTTTTCAAAGCTGTCTAATCATAGCACCAGCTCGACCGTTTTAGCCTCGATTGATACACACGAAGCGAGAATGACTCTCTTCAGCCACACACCCGCTAAGGCCGTGACTTTCCTCGTAGTCGTCATCGCCTCTGCAGTGCTCCTTTCCGCCCCTGCGCGCGTCTCTGCCGCCGGGAAACCCGCCAACGCGACTGCGCCTGCCAACGCGACTAAGCCTGCTAACTCAACTGCTTATGCTAAGGGGGTTGCTGCTGGCGCGATTGGCTCTGCAAACGCAACCACGCGTGCCGTGGCGGCGACGGCGAGGCAGAGCAAGAGCTCGGGGCTAGGAAACGACTCCACCTGCGCCTATTACGCAAACTACACCGCCAACCCCTACTTTGGCAAGGGGCTCACCGTGAAGCTTCCTCCCGCCATCTTCGGCAAGCGCTGCGGCGCGTGCTACAAGGTGACTTGCGCCAACGACACGAAGCACTGCCGCAGCGGCAAGGCGACCGTGACGGTCCGCGTCATTGGCGCGACGACCACGGAGAAGGAGATTTCGCTTTCCCCCGTGTCGTGGTCCAAGATCGTGCAGGGAGTCTCCGTTGCCACCCCCGTCGGCATCACGTACAAGCGCACCAACTGCCACTCGACCCTCGGATCCGCGGTGCGCGTGCGCCGCAATTCGACGGCAGAGGATTTCAACATTCAGATGGTGGGTCTCGCCGGCCCCGGTACGCTCAAAGAGGTCGAGATTAGCGCGGACGGCAAGAAGTGGGCGAAGCTGACGCGCGACGGCAGCAAGGCGATCTGGGGGATCAAGGGCAAGGAGGCGAAGGAGGTTGTGGGCGCGAAGAAGGCGGTGAGCGTTCGCCTGACTGCGGGACACACCCTCGAGAAGATCACGCTCGCGAATGTCCTTCCCGCCGACTGGAAGCCGCAGACGCTGTACTCGAGCAAGACCAACTTCAAGAAGCTCATGGCCGAGGCTAAGTAGGCAAGTAGAGAGCGTGAGGAAGACATAATTCATAAGTGGCTGTCGAAAGCAAGCTGGCGCCAGCAGTGGGGTGAAGGTGCTTTTGAGCATGAGACTGGCTGAACGTTAGGTGGTAGCGGGTGGGAGGGGGGTGGGACCAGAGTGGGTTAGTGGAAAGGGAATGGGTAGCGGGGGAGTGGGTTTGTGAGAGGGGAGTATGAGGTGCAGATTTACTTGTATGCACTCCTATCAGTTTTATATGTATGCTCCTTCATGGGGTGGTTCATAATAACTTGTTTCACATAAAGGGTGGTTAGTGGGCTAGCCTGATAAACAGATTGCTTTCTGGAAGTCAATTGAAGAATTCAACTAAGGTACCATAAAAGATACATTCATGCGACTGATTTCTCTAGCTGTAACCTTTGTAGCCCTTCACTCCATCCTCCTAACCACCACCTTTCCCGTCACATGCCCTCCCATGCTCCTCCTCCACGCCTCTCTCGCCTCTTCAAACGCCACAGTACTCTCCACCACCACCCTCACCTTCCCCTCCTCCGCCATCCTCCCCAGCACCTCCAGATCACCCTCCCTGTTCGCCATCATAGCAGGATGCAGTTTCCTCGGGCGAAGAGCCAAGCGGCGCCAGAGTCCCAGAGCGAGCAGAGAGAGCGGAAGCTCCACATGCGCCCACCTCCCTTGGGGACGGAGAACCCTGCCCACCGCAGAGACTGCCAGGCTGGTGGGCGAGCAATCAATCACCACATAATACTGCCCAGAGATAGGCGGATTGGCAGATGAAGAAACCTGTGCAGCGCAGGGGATGGGGATGAGAAATCGTAGAGCTGTTTCTCTGCAGCGGAGTTGTAATCAAACAGCTCGTCTGTTCCAAGCACGTTCCGTGCAAAGGCGAGGTTATGAGCGCCGAGAGTGGCAGTTACTTGTGCCCCTGCTGCCTTAGCCAGCTGCACTGCCAGATGCCCCACTCCCCCTGACATATTCGCCACCAGGAATCGTGCGCTGCACCTGCTGCTGTCGCTCCTGCTTGTGCTGGTGCTCTCGCCTTTACCACTGCTATCTGCACCCGGTTTGGTTACCGGGAGGGGAAGGCTGGCGCAGTCCCTCACGGCTTGCAGGGAAGTGAGGCCGACGACAGGGAGAGCAGCGGCAGACTCGAAGGTGAGGGAGGAGGGCTTGCGCGCACTGAGGGCAGTTTCCAGTAGGGCGTATTGCACCAGGGCGCCCATCGTTTGGGAGAAGAGGAGTGAGAATACAGAAGGGGTATGAGGAATGCAAATGAGAAGGGAAAGCAAGTAAGAGGCGTGCTGGTTGAGGACTGCATAGTGAACGAGAGTGGGGCCAGAGAGGAAGTGTATGGGAGAGAAGCAGACAGATGCGGTGGTGAAAACACCAAACATCGTTCAGACATGTGGTTGAGCTTGTGGTTCAGACATTGTCCGCAGTCAAAAGGCAAGTGGCCGCATACATGCCATAAGGAGAGGGATGCGATGCAGAGTGGTGGAGAGAGGTGCAGCGCAGTGGATGAGAGCGGACGAACAAAGAATAAAGCAATGTGGTGGTTACGGAACGTACAAAGAACGGCGCCCTTCCAAAAACGACAATGTGTTGCCTGCGAGGTCGTACCCTGCATGAACAACAATCAAAGGTAGGTCAGGAAAATCTATCAATAAATCATGACTCGAGTGTGCAGTGAGAAGGGTGAATGACAAGGCGGAGGGAAAGGAATGCATGCAGGTCGTCACCACCAGAGGGGGGAACCGCAGAGCCAGGAAAGGGAACCGCAGAGCCAGGAAAGGGAACCGCAGAGCCAGGAAAGGGAACCGCAGAGCCAGGAAAGGGAACCGCAGAGCCAGGAAAGGGAACCGCAGAGCCAGGAAAGGGAACCGCAGAGCCAGGAAAGGGAACCGCAGAGGCAGGTAAGGGAACCGCAGAGCCAGGTAAGGGAACCGCAGAGCCAGGTAAGGGAACACAAATCAGTGCATGCACAGCGGTGGGGAAACGCAGCGGCCAGAAGGAGATGAAATTAAATTGCACCTATTAGATTCGGCGCTTCTGATAATCCTCCTTATAATCTTTCATCTCCTGCGGCTGCTTGCACTCTTTCTCACCAGCGGTGACGGGGAAATGGCGCGGAAGGAATCCCGACTGCACACTTCCAGCCACCCGGGTTGATGCTTGTCATGTGCACGCGAACCAGCGCCTTGCCCTTGCTCGGCGCAGGCACGGGGAAGTTTTTATTCAACTGGTGGGGTGAGAACGAGTGAGGGATGGGGAGAAGCTATTGAGGTTGAAGTTTCTCACTGCGCGCACGCGAACATCACCTCGCCCTTACACGGACAAGGCCGTTGTTGCTCAAACTGGTGAATTGCAGGGGATTCAGAATGCAGAAACTTTCATGAATACACTCCCTCCTCATGCGCGCGAACCAGCATCTCGCCCTTACATAGTGTGCTGGGACGCTGTCATTCAGCTGGTGAAGCACAAAGGGGAGGGGGATAAGGAAATCTCGGTAAGGATTTGAACTGAAGCGGCTCGCCGAATGCACTCGAACCACCGCCCCGCCTTCACACAGCTTGAGTGTGTCGGTAATTGAGGTGACTTTTGAGTCGAGATTCGCGGCGGGGCGTACGGGATGGAGGACACGTAACAGCACGCAGATGACGGGGCATCTGCGTGACCATAGCCCGTAGAACTTGATGCCAAAATCAGTCATTCAAGTTGTGACGGGGCGTCATGCTTCAGATCAGATCACGATGCGCATCGTGAGCTGCACGCGAACTACGTCGTGGGGTATGGACTTGCGCAATTCCGTCGCGGCGCAATGATGGCATCAGAATGGAGTGCCTATGGGCTTACGAAGGATGCCTGACGAAGCAGGGGAAAGCTCATGAGGTGCAGAAAAGAATTTTGAGTCGACTCAAAAGTTGACTCGGTGCAGCAAAGCAACTGCTACTACTGGAAACGAAAGAGCCTCGGATGATTCGGGCGGCGAATGAAACGCACCGAGAGAGCATCAACCCCGCTGCCGTGCTTCAAGTACTGCCACGCCGCCATGGTCTGTCAGAATGTAATTGTATACATCACTTTATAACTGCCTGCAATGTAGACTTAGTGTAGTTATCTTTCTTGTTAGGTGGTGCACCTTTCTTCTCTTCTTTCATATTTGTACCCTTGAGCCTATAGTGAAACCATCCTTTTCTCCTTGCAACTCTCTCGACATTCCCCTTCCACCCTAAACTTCAACTACTAAGCCACTAAAGCTATGGCTCCTAAGCCTAGCTGTACTTAGTATCTTAACATGCTATCAGAGCATTTATACTCCTGGCCTGTGGGCACATGCTTCCGCTGCCTGTCATCCTGCCGCGCGCCTCGGGCGCGCGGCGTAGCGCACGGCGATTTTCTGCCCGCCGTGCGCCCCGGGCACGCGGCGTCTTCCTGTCCGCGCGCGGGCCTGTTCTGCCCGCCCGTACCCTGCCCTTCGCGGCGCCCTGCAGAGGCGCCGCTCCTGCTCGTCGCGACGCCCCTGCGGGACCCGTGCGTCGCCGCTCCTGCTCGTCGCGACGCCCCTGCGGGACCCGCGGGGCGCTGTCCCTGCTCGTCGCGGCGCACCCCCCCCTGGCCGCCGCCTCTGCCTCCCCTGCGCCCGCGCCTGCTTTGCAGCAACGCGCGGGCCTGCCCTGCACCAACGACGCCGCCCCTGGAGCAGCCGCCCCTGGAGCAGCCGCCCCTGCAGCAGCCGCCCCTGGCCCCTGGAGCAGCCGCCCCTGCAGCAGGCGCCCCTGGCCCCTGGAGCAGCCGCCCCTGCAGCAGCCGACCCTGCAGCTGCCCGCGACGCCGCTCCTGGACCCTGTGCAGCCGTGGGGGGGGGTATGGGGGTGGCGGGTGTGGGGGTGATGAGTGTGGGTGCTACCCTTCCCCTCCTCCTCCTACTTCGTCTCCCACTGCTGCAGCTGCCGCTGAAGGGGGGTGGATGTGTGGGAGCCGAGGGGGAGTGAAACTAGGGGTGCGGCAAGGGGTGCGGCAAGGGGTGTGGAAGGGGTGTGGGACAGGTAGGGGAGGTTGAGTGGAGGTGGCCGCCGTGAAGTCAGCAGCTCCAGTCGCCCGTGAGACCGTTGCGCCAGTCGCCCGTGAGCCCGTCGCTCCAGTCGCCCGTGAGCCCGTTGCTCCAGTCGCCCGTGAGTCAGTTACTCCTGCCGCTCGTCTAGCCGCGGAGTCAGTTACTCCAGTTGCCCGTGTGCCAGTTGCTCCAGTTGCCAGTGTGCCAGTTGCTCCAGTTGCCCGTGTGCCAGTTGCTCCAGTTGCGCCGTGTGCCAGCAGCTTCAACTGCCGCCCACCACCTCCTCTCCTTTCATAGTCCCTCCTCCTCCTCACTTGCCCTCTCCGTCTGCTGCGCTCTGCTTGGTGTACCCCTTCCGGGGGTGTTTCTGCACATGGTTCTTCACTGCAGGCAGTTAGGGGGTGTGTCAGAATGTAATTGTATACATCACTTTATAACTGCCTGCAATGTAGACTTAGTGTAGTTATCTTTCTTGTTAGGTGGTGCACCTTTCTTCTCTTCTTTCATATTTGTACCCTTGAGCCTATAGTGAAACCATCCTTTCTCCTTGCAACTCTCTCGACATTCCCCTTCCACCCTAAACTTCAACTACTAAGCCACTAAAGCTATGGCTCCTAAGCCTAGCTGTACTTAGTATCTTAACATGGTCTCCGGTACGGGCGGCATTTGCATATCGCCGAATCGAACGGAACTGTTTCCAGCAGTCGTCATTGCGCGTCCTATAGCGGCAGGCTCTCACCAAAACGGATCACGTCGCGGCGGCAAATTGCCGTTGAAACACCTGCGTCGCAGGCAGAATTTGTACGTAGATATTAGCAACACAGTGGTCGACTGGCAGCGGATTGAACTAGATTAGCGCAGCGTGAGAACGCGTTGCGAAATGAACTGCCGCGTTAAAAAAACTAGATTCAGAAAATGGATGAATATGTAGATAGCAAATGGTGGAACTGCTGCGGATTGACTGCCTATTTGAGCTATTCGATTTGTGCGGAAGCATTGTGCAAAAGCGCGCTGCGTTCGCGTTGGTTACCATGACTAATTTCGCGGTACTAGCCGAAGTAGATAACGAAACGGAGCCCCGCAATACACGCGCACGCAATAGGGAAGAACTAGAGTTTAGGGCAACGAATACACGTAAGCAGAATAGCTAGTGTTAGGCCCGCTGGCCTAAGTCCGCTAAAGAATTAGCGGGGTCGACTAAATCGAGGATGAAACGCGGCGGAAGACTTTGGCGAAAGAACTATTGGCGAAATAGGCGAAGAAGTTACTGAGTAATTGAAGAAGAGTTGAATGAGAATTGATTGATATTGGTGGATACAAGCAAGGATGATATAGCATGCAAGGTCGAATGTCGGAAAGTACTTCGCGGGACTAGAAAGTAGAAGCAAGAAAGGTAGAGTGCCACGTGGCACTAGGCAATCTGAAAAGATAAGGATAAGGATGGGGTTGGGAGTACTGTTCAAAGGGAACAGTAAACACCCCTCTAACACTACCCTCCTCCCAAGGAAGCGACGTCCGCGGCACCTGCAGACTGAAGGTACGCTTGGAGGCAAGCGTTGTCGGGAGACAGTGAGGACGAAGGAACCCAGCTGTCATCTGCTGCGTCGTAACCACGCCAACGAACCAAGAAGTCGACGAAAGAGACACCCCCCTGGAGACGGCGACGGTGCCTGAAGATGCGCTGGATCTGGTAGTCGGGCTCGTCTGTGTCAACAGCTACCGGCAGTGGAGTGCGGTCACGACCCGAGAAGGTGGCGTTGGGATCGGTGCAAGGACGAAGAAGCGACACGTGGAATGACGGGTGCATGCGGAAATGAGCGGGAAGGTGGAGGCGGCATGCGACTGGACCAAGTGTGCGCTCAATGACGAATGGACCAATGAAGCCAGGGCGAAGCTTGCTGTCCTGTGGCAGTCGGAGGTTGCGGCTATCCAAGAGAACACGATCGCCGACTGTGAACGACACCTCACGACGACTGCGGTTGGTGGTGCGTGCCATGCGTGCATTTGCGAGCTCAAGGTGCTTCCTCACGTGATCATGAATGAAGGTGAGATGCTGGTGGAAGTTGTCCGCACGAGGGACAGTGGGGGTGAGATCGACATGAGTGGGGACATTGGGGTGCTGACCGTACAGTGCAAAGAACGGTGACATGCCTGTGGCGGAGTGGTGCGTGTTGTTGTAGGTGAACTCTGCCATGCTCAGCTTCTTGTCCCATGCGGCTGCGTCGTGCATCGTGATGCTGCGAAGAATCTGCTCCCAGGTCTGGCTCACACGCTCGGTCTGTCCGTCTGTCTCTGGATGGTACGCAGACGACATGGCTAAGCGAGTCCCAAACAGTGCGAAAAGCTGCTTCAAGAACTTCGAAGTGAAACGAGGGTCGCGGTCTGAGATGATGGAATCTGGAACCCCTTGCAGTTGGACTACGTTATCTACGAACAGTGTCGTGGCTTCCTCTGCTGTGACCTTGCCGTGCGTGGGGATGAAGTGCGCTACTCGAGAGAACTTGTCGACTACAACGAAGATGGCGTCGTGACCCCTAACTGTGCGCGGTAAAGCCATGATGAAATCC